CACCACCCCCTAAATGTCCACGTTGTCCACGGGGTCCTCGCCCGAGGTATTTCAGATACTTCTACATCAACACACGTGAAATGTGATAAAATAGGGGGTAATAACACTGGGATTTTGCTCGAAAATGACTTCATATTTTCACTAGAACTACGTAACCCTGCACCCCGAGAATTCCGCGGTACAAGTCCAAAGCCCCAGATATCAGGACCGTCAAAATACAGACTCACCGGTGATATCCAGAAAAGCACACACACACACGCACACCACCCCCTAAACGTCCATGTTGTTCACGGGGTCTTCGCCCGAGGTATTCCAGGTATTTCTACGTCAAAACACGTGAAATGTGATAAAATAGGGGGTGATAACACTGGCATTTTGCTCGAAAGAGATTTCATAATTTTCACTAGAACTACACAACTCTGTACCCCGAGAGTTCCGCGGTGCAACTACAAAACCCCGGACATAAGGACCGTCAAAACACAGACCCACCGGCGAAATCCAGAAAAGCACACACACACACACACGCACACCACCCCCTAAATGTCCACGTTGTCCACGGGGTCCTCGCCCGAGGTATTTCTATGTCAACACACGTGAAATGTGATAAAACAGGGGTGATAACACAGGCATTTTGCTCGAAAAAGACTGCATAATTTTCACTAGTACCACGACACCCTGTACCTCGGGAATTCCGCGGTGCAAGTCCAAAACCCCGGACATCAGGACCGTCAAAATGCAGACCCACCGGTGAAGCCGAGAAAAGCACACACACACCACCCCCAAAATATCCACGTTGCCTACGGGGACCTCGCCCGAGATGTTCCAGGTATTTCTACGTCAACACACGTGAAATGTGATAAAATAGGGGGTGATAACACTGTCATTTTTCTCGAAGCGACTTCATAACTTTCACTAGAGCTACCTAACCCTGTACCCCGGGAATTCCGCGGTGCAAGTCCAAAACCTCAGACATCAGGACCGTCACGCAGACCTACCGGCGAAATCCAGAAAAGCACACACACACACACGCGCACCACCCCCCAAATATCCACGTTGTCCATGGGGCGCTATAGAGCTGCAATGTTCGGCGCGGGACCCCACTCGTTTTTGGTGTGAAATTTTCAAGTTCAAATTTCGACGGGCTTCTCAACGCGGGTTTTCCATGGGAGGTTGGGGATTGCTAAAACTCGGCTCGGCTCGGCCGCGGTGGCCGTGAGGGCGGGGGAGCCGTGGTGATTGTGGTTTATACCTTCGGGTGGCGGGCAAATCGCGAGGGTAGATGGGAGAGCGAGAAGGAGCTGGTGTTTTAGGTCTCGGAGGAGTAAGGCGAGATGAAGGGGGGGGGGGGGGGGGGGGGGGGGGGGGGGGGGGGGGGGGGGGGGGGGGGGGGGGGGAAGAGAGGGGGGGG